ACTGTAGAAGTTTCGTTACAGTACGGGACTCCTCAATAGTATATATCTGAACTCTAAACTGCAGAAAACATCTAGCACTTTCTGCTGCATTAGCAATAATAAATATAAATGATAGAAACTTTAAAATCCATCAGGTGTGATTCGATTATTTTGTATTGATCTTACTTTATCTGTTGTGTATGTTGAGGCCGATTTGTTGTAGAGTGTACTGTTACACTAGTCATTTGCATCTATATTTATTTTTATGTATGGAACAGAATGGCACAAAGTCATCTAAAAAGTCCAAATAATGTATACCGGAATAATAGCATAGATTTATTGTGTACTGAGTTTACTGGAAAAATAAATGGTTTTGATGAATTTGGTACTCGAAACGTATTCCAAGTTCAGAAGTAATATTCTATATCAATTGAACAATTAATGAAAATTTATATATTCTATTTTTTCAATATTGAAATATGTTCAAAATTAATTTATTTGTGTGAAAAGATTGTAGAGATTGCTGAGTTACTTTTTGAAATCATGAATGAACTTGAAAGCACTGGCCAACCGTTTCGTCCTAGTGTGGGACTCATTGGCAGTGAGCATTCAGGACTTCCGCTCAGTGGTCCGGCGGTTGGGTGTTAGAGCGCGCAAGACCGAAGGTCCTGTGTTCGAATCCCATGAAAAGCGGAAGTTTTTAATATGCACTGCCGATCAGTCACGCGCGGAAGCTTAACATCTACACCATTCAGTTATCGGCACCTAGAGGTGTCAATGTCTAACTTCAACCAATCCACAGTCTTGTGTAACCTCATCTGTTCTATTCGGTGGGTAACTACTTCATACCCAAAAGGGTTGTCATTTCGAAATGAGAAAAAATTTTTTTTCAAAATAATAGATTAAACTAGAAAACTACAAACGTTACATAATCTTAATATGATCAATTATTTGAATTTAGATCGACACATCTTGGATACGCAAATAAAAATTGACAGAATTAAGTCTTCGTTGGAAAAGAATTAGATTTTTAATTTGATTGAAATATGATGAATCGATCATCATTAAAAACCTAAAAGCACTAGACGACCATTTTGTGCTAGTATGGAGCTTTTCAGTTCACTAGTGGTTAACTTCATGAAGAAATTCTAGTGGAAAGTCGTGACCAGTGGAATTCGACTACGTCGAGTATGAGGCAGTTACTCACTGAAGATAAATTGATGTTTTTGTGCAAGACCATGGATCAATCGAAGTTAAACATTAAAACTGTTAGATGTCAGCTCAGTAGTGTAGAGGTTAGGCACTCGCATGTGAGACCGAAAGTTCTGGTTTTGATCTCCACGAGCGTGGATCTTGGTAGCGAACTGCTGATGAGCCCTGTACTGGGATGAAACGGCCATTTAATGCTTCCAGGATTCTAACTGCAGTCTAACACTGACCGATTCATGATTTCAAAAAAACAGTTTATTTTCAACTTTTAAATAATTTCAAAAGTTAAGGTTATGATATGATACAGGCCAATAGTAAATGATAAGTGTGCAAGTAATTGTTTTTTCTCTCATTATCTTTGACAATGAAACAGATTTTAACAAAAATTTTTTTACATAACTTTTAAAATGGTAACATTTAGTGATTTCAACACTTTTATATGAGAAGTTAGATATGTACATTGAAAATTATTGATAGTCAATTGTGACTCTGTTTAGTTTATAGAAAGTTGATTATTGATCAGTGTAAAAGTACATATTAAAATCATTGCATTCGAATACAGTTTCAATTTGTGTTTATTGTAGCATAAATTTTCATGTGTTATCTCTTTCCTCCTTGATTCATGTGAGTTTCTTTTGCGAGTACCTGTTTGCCACAGTTATGATAACATTCTATCGGCAAGTTGAAAATGTCAACAGTCGATATTTTCGACTTCAGTTATTGACTGCCGCCATTTAATGTTACAGGCAAGCTACTTTTTCATTTCTGATTTGGTTAACTATTCTGGGCCATAGATTTCGCCTAGATTCTCCGGAAAATGTTGGTCCCGTTAACAGGTAGGAGGGTTTGAGCGGTTGTTGCTACCACGTCGCCCATATCGCCGAAAAATACCTGCAGTGTTCTTGACCTAGGAGCGTGAGTGCATAGTTCTTAGAGATAACTGCATTCAGGAATACGTTTATTTGTGTCCTAAAGGCCTAAATGCTGTAGATGAAATCTGTTGGGTTAGATAAGGTGATTTGTCTTTACAATCTATCTCTATCAGTCTTCTCTTTACGTTATGAAGATGTGGAATCACAGCAGATTCCAGTTGTCTGGAGTAAATGACTGATTGTAATTACAGTCATATATCGTCCGGAGTATGACTTCGCTCTCAGACCTTGTATGTAATTATAACTTACTTGGGTAGTTTTTTTACGGAGAGCAATTAACTTAAATTCTGTGGGTGGAAAACTTGAATTTAATAATAAAATTTAAAGTCAAGGAATTTTGTACGTCTAACAAACTACTAATACTCTCTATTAAAACTCATTTTTCAATGGTTCTTTACGACGATGTAACATTTCTTTTTTTTCAAAAAGACTCATTTAAATAAATAATTTTCCTATTCAACATTCTGAATTAGAATGAAATGTAACATTTGTTGTTAATGCGAGTTTTAAATCTGTCTGTCTTAGCATGGAAATTGTCTGTCTTAGTACGGATCAATTATTTAACAGAATTTTTTGAAAACCTAATAGAGAGAAATGACAATAAACTAATCGATATTTTTTTATGGTAAGCTATGGACTGATCTTAACTTGATCACTATTAAAGAACAAGGAGTTATTGGACAGCAGGTTTATCCTAGTATGAGACTCATCAACAGTGTATATGCCGGACAAGAAATCGAACTCAAGGCCTTTAGTCTAGCCTGAGAACGCTAAACATTTCGGTCACTGGACTGATGCACCTAATGGTGTACCAATCTAACTTCAGTCAATGCACGATATTACACAACTCTGTCTCATACTCGACATGATTGTGCTCCACTTGTCCTGACTTCTCACAACAACTTCATCAATTGATTTTTAAAGTTATTTACTAGTGAAGATGTGATTCTTATCAGTTTCAGCTTTTGTTGAGATTAAAAAATTGTCCATTTATAAATTAAAATCAACATACAGCATTTTAATAGAAGAAAATTTTTTCGGGCAGAGTTTGGGAGGTTTGTGTTTTTACACATCTGAAATCATCAATCAATCATTGTTAGAACACCATTAGAAACCTGGAAGCACGTGACCAATGGAGTTCAACCCTGTGGGTGTGGTCGCGCAAACATCCGTAGATCAATCAGAGTTAGACATTAACACCGTCAGATGCCGGCCCATTGGTCCGATGGTTAGGCGTTCGCGCACAATATCGAAGGTCCCGAGTTCGAATCCTGCGAGGTGCAGGAGTCGTGGATGCGTACTGCTGATTTCTTCGGATATCAGCATGAAACGGCCATCCAGTGCTTTCAGGTTTCTAATGCTAGTCTAACAATGATTGATTGATGATTTTAAATGTTTAGAAGAAAATATGTTAGTTTATCAAATCAACTGAATCATAGTAATTCATTCTAAACTGATGAATACACTTACAAACAGAGGATCAGTTAGTTTTCTATTCAATAATTTCTTCATTTCTTATTATATCTTTGCATTACCAAGTATATTGGTAATGATTTACTTTCTTCCCTTGAATTTACAACGTTCATTTTTGTCTATTTCTCATATTCTAACTGCTTTTCTATACATGCTCATGTGTGTGTGTGCGCGCGTGTGTGTTGATTTCAACTGAAATTTCTGTCTCCCTTTCTTCCCAACTACTCCTCATCTCTCTGCCTCTTTATGATATGTGTGTCCACATAAATAAATATGTGTGTGTGTTATGTGAAACCAGTGAGTAAAACCTATGAACAAGCAATACAACTGTTACATTTCTTCTTAAAAATGAAATAAAGGAATTAGAAACCCACACAAATCCTTCCCATCGTTTATGTTTTCTCTCTCTTGAATTAGACTATTATTGTATGCAAATGGGAATGACAGTTAACCGACCAATCAGAATGAAGTTATTAATAATAAAAATTATGATTGGTTCATTGGTTCATATTTTCCCTTTGAAAAAAAATTCCACATTAACTATTTAAATCAGAATGATTGTTCAAAATAGTTTTTTTTCTGGTAAATAAAATTCAAAAATATTTTCTTTTAAAATATCAATTGTGAAAAGACGGTGAATATTAATCAATGATGTCTCTTATACATACATATTGAATAAATTGAATCTATCATATGCATTTTTAACAACAACAACAAGAAAAAAACAGAGAAAATTTCAACTCATCTATGCGTATTTTTTTGTACAAATGAATATTTCTGACAGACAAATCAAATTGAAAAAAAAACGTAATCGAGAGAGAGAGAGAGTTATATGAAGCAATGAACTCTTTCTATCATCATCATCATCATCATGCGTCTACCTGATTTGTTTAAATTAACTCTGATTTGTTTAAATTGATTGATTCATTGTTCAATTATTTTCATTTTTTTTCTCTGTTTCAAATATTTCAATACAAACACAAATGTTATTTATTTAATTCTATTAGTTGTTGATTTATTCATTAAATTCAATTGACTAAGTAAAGTAAATCAAATCAAAACCAAACGAAAAAAAAATTTTCATTTACATCTATCAATCATTCAAATTTCTAGTCAACATATATATGTATGTATATATTACATGTTAAGTGAAAAGCAAAGATTTCTTTCTATTTTGTCACCCTAGAAAAAGATATACACAATAATTTTGACCTGAAAAAAAAAGTAATTTAAATATTAAAATTGATAACAGTTTTTTGTTTTAAAAAAAAATCTATTTAACTTATCTAAATGCATCACCATCATATGTAGTATGCATTAAATATTACAACGCATAGAGAGAGAGAAAAATAAAATTGAAGAATCTGTGAACAGATAAACTTTTTCAAGTTTGAACATTGTTGAACAATGTCAAGTTTGAAATATTTATGGCCACCGACAGCATTTGTTTTAGGCAATTCCATGGGATTTAACACATCATCGAATGGAAATGTATTTAATGCCACGAATTCATCATCATCCTCATCCTCATCCTCTTCATCGTCATCGTCTACATCGTTTGATGTATCACAACAATTTATTAGTTCAATGAATTCAATTACTTCCAATGAATTAATCAATCCTATCATTAATTCACCAATGATGATGACACAAGGAATTGTGCAAAATTTAAATGATTCACATAATTTAAATCAAATTGATAGATTTCATCAAATGAATTCTTATTCACCTGATAATCATGATAATCATAATAATGGTAATCGAAACTTTACACATATACATGAATTTCCCGATGAAAAACAACCTGTTCGAATGGATGAATGTAATTCTATCATACAAACTAAAAATATTACCACTACAACTACAACTGACAATGAAACATTGAAATCTTCATGGTCATTTATAGAAAATAACAACAATAATAATAATAAACAGATAGATACATGTTTTATGCCAATGACTTGTCATCATAATTATGATGTTTCCAAATGTCAATGTGTTAATGTAGTTGCTGCTGCAGCAGCTGCTAGTTATGCACGTTCTTGTTTATATCATGGTGTTGCTATGGCTGCAGCATCATATAACAACAACAATATTGATAATTGTACTAAAAGAACAACATCAACAACACCAAATTCACTGAATACATTGAAGAATCATTCCACAACTATATCCAATATGAATTCATTATATCCGAGATCATTTTTTGCTTCGACACCAACATCTACTATAACAACAACAACAACTACAACCACAGCCACAACACCAAGAACACCAACACCGACATTACCATCTTCATTGCTACCAGCCTATCATTGTTCCATTCAAAATTCACGTGACTATCATAATAACCAATATTCATTGGCATTTCCCGTGACACAACAACACATGAATTCCATGTTTTTATCACCAGCACCACTGGGACCACCACCGCTTACTTGTCAACAATCATCCATGTTTGATTTGAATACAATCCACTCGTATCCTTACACAAACTATCACCAGCATATTGGAAATGCTAATTCCAGTGTGGCGTTGGCTGCGGTAGCTGCACAAAAACATGTACAATATTTTCAAGGTATTTATTCACGTGCTAAATCAAATAAAGCTAAAGGTAATGTTTTGTTTTGTTTTTTTTAAAAATTAATTTAACTTTCAATGTCGAAGATTAAATGTATATACCAACTTTAAATCTATTTTTTTTAACTATGCCGCGAAATTTAAAAAAAGTGATCATCTTACGAAGAGGTATTTTTGAGGATTATAAGATTTTCCTATAGTCTCAATTATAAACTGATTTTAGTTAGATTATCTCTGGAAGCTAGAAAATACTGGACAGTTGTTTTTGTTCTAAATATAGAACTGCACTTAAGTTTGATTTCTACAAGTGGTGTGAATATGCATTATTAGCTGGAATCCAATATGTTAGGACAAAAGAACTAACTGTTCAATACTTTTTATTTTTCAATGGTAGTCTAAAGAATATTGGCTCGTAATTTGAACTGTGATGAAAAAAACATTAACCCGCTGAAATAGTTTATTTTCTAAATGATTCAGGAACTCATAAGATTTAATTGGATTTTTATATAGTTTAGTCCCAATCCGAAGAGTTCATATGTTATGTCGTCTTAAATTATATAAAATTCATTGTTGGATTAAAAATGACACAGTTTATACAGAAATATATTGATTAAAAATAACTCTAAAGACGATCAAGTCAAAATCCAACATCATTTTAATCAGACATAATCTCAGTAATTATTATTCAACATTGGACATTGAACACCTAAGTTGTTTCATTCTAAAAAAGATATGAATGATGCCTTATCTATATAGTTCACAGAAAATGAAGTGAATGTTTTTTTCTCTTGATATCGATTTAGTAATCGGTATAAATGAGTGAAACGAAAAATACTTCAAAACACACAAAGTAAATTTATTCATAATCTTAATTCCGATAGTTTTTTTATTCAATATTACATGTTAGATATAATATAATGTGATGCTGAACTTTCTTTTTTGACTGTACAAAATTCCAATATTATTACGCCTGTTAGTCTTAATGGAGCTTAGGCCACCGACCAGCATTCTCCAACTTACTCTGTCCTGTGCGTTCCATTACACTTCTATCCAATTGTTGATCATTATTTTAATGTTTGTCGTTAATTTTTGGAGTTGTGTGCTCCTTGGTCATCCTATTTTACTTTGACCTTGATGATTCTAAGTGGGGGCTTGTCTTGTGACGCAGTTGGATCATTTTCCAATGAAAAGAGTTGAATAAAATGGATCATATGTATTTCATAAAAATATCATTTACTAGTAATTGTCAAATGTTATCATTACTTACCTTAACAATGGTCTTTAATAAGTGTATTTAATATAAAGTAATCCGTTTTTATATATTCAAGGGAAACTAGTGATGAATAGTATTTGAACGATAGATATTATATATGAATTAATAGAATTATAAATGTAGGTCCTAGGTCATAGAATGCTGGTATGTGGCCTATGCTGCATTAGGATTAATAGGTGTTTGTAAGTAAGTAAGTGCATAAGTGCATAAGTAAGTAAGTAAGTAAGTAAGTAAGTAAGTAAGTGCACAAGTAAGTAAGTAAGTGCACAAGTAAGTAAGTAAGTGCATAAGTAAGTGCATAAATAAGTAAGTAAGTAAGTGCATAAGTAAGTAAGTAAGTAAGTGCATAAGTAAGTAAGTAAGTAAGTGCATAAGTAAGTAAGTAAGTGCATAAGTAAGTAAGTAAGTGCATAAGTAAGTAAGTAAGTAAGTGCATAAGTAAGTAAGTAAAGTAAGTAAGTGCATAAGTAAGTAAGTAAGCAAGCAAGCAAGCAAGTAAGTAAATGAATGAGTGAGTACGTAGGTAAATAAGTAAGTAATTCTCAGGTAATATCACAATCATGTACCCTTTTTATACAGTCAATAAAATCACAAGTTCTCGTTTTTTATTCATAATTTTAGTGACATGATAATTTGTTATTCTTTTAACGCCTTTTTATTCTTGATTCATCTTACTGGAATAAATTCAGACTAATAGTAAATGAGCTGATAATTAACATTGTGTTTTTATGTATGACACGAGTGAAACAATTTCTCATATTTCTGTGGGGAATGGGGAATATGCGAAACGAAATATTGACTATTTAACGGACTAGATATCGATAACCACTTGGAGAAATCCTTTAAATAGTAGTAAAAACTTTTCAAAATAAAATTTTTGTCCATTGGTATCGTCAAAAATTTTAAAGAGAAATCTAGAATTCAAATGAAGATACTTTATTTTAACCGGATTAGTATCTTTTCTAAAAGGTTCTAGAGTATTTGTATTTACTTGTAATCATATAAATACTATTTACATTTTTGTACATAAATTGATCAGTGAATCTAAACTGTTTCTAGATTATTAGATCGATTTGGAGGTTAAGAGTTAAGTAACATGAAAGTATGATATGCGATTAAGCAGTCAATAAGTCGAAGTAACCAGTGTATCAAAATGGACTATTGAACACTTATCTTAAACATTAGAATTCATTTCCCAATAGGTTCTTAACTTTTTGAAATGACTGGAGATTTCTGGTTAGCGTTTTGTTTTAGCGAGTTAATCTTCTGCGAGATGGGGTCTCTAACATCTATGCCCAACCCTACTTCTTTATCCGGGCTTAAGACAGGCAGTAGACCCAGAGGGGTCCCATGAGGAGTTCGGATAGAGATTTATGAGTGCAAAATTTGTAATTTTTCAAATCAGTGTAAAAATTTCAATGGTGTTGCATGATTTAATCGCTGAAACATTGATCTATTAGAATGGATCAACAAATAGTCATTCCTTTCAATGAAATCATGAATTGATCAATGTTAGACCAGCACTAGAAACCTGGAAGCACTGGATGAGGTCATGCAATATTGTAGATTGTTGATTCAAGTTAGACATCAATACCGTTGGATATCAACTCAATGGTCTAGAGGTTCAGTGTCTGCACACAAACGGAAGATTCTGGTTTGAACAGCTGCGTCTGGGAGTAGTGGATGAGCAATGATGACGAATCCCATTCTAGGACCAAACGGCCGTTCAGTGCTTCCAGGTTTCTAATGGTGATAATTAATGTGTTATCAGTATAAATCTCTTTGGAAATCTTACAATAAAATGAAACTTGTACAATATTACTTGGTTTTCAATAGTGATTCAGCTGAAGGCAATTTAAGATGTAAAGTTTCGAGGAAACTTTTCCATCCCTACACAATAGTTATGTATTTCATTGACTAGAGATTTTTAATAAATCCAAATATTTTCTCCAACACAATTGATAATCTGAATGTGTAAAATATGATCGTTTTTTTACGAAACTGCAGGATTATTTAACATAATCTAATTTATACGAACTATATGCTTAAATTAAATTTATGAAATTAAAAACTGAAACAGTATAAATCGTTCATTGGTTTAATAATTGTCACTAATTATTTACTTATTACTTTGAATTATGTTTTCTGGTTAGGGTGTTTTTTTAGCCAGTTAGTTATTTTTTGTGGGATGGGGTTGCCAACTCCATACCCAAACCTCCTCCTCCTCCTTTATCCGGGCTTGGAAGCGGCAGTAGCTGAAGTGGGGCTCCAGGCGGAGATTTTTTTTCACTTATTATTATGAGCATTTAATCATGTCAGTTCAATGACACAATTTAAGATTGTTAATAGTTTAATTTCTGTATGAACAATTTAATGTCTCAGTGGTTGAAACAAGTTTATATTATCTGGGAATATAAAAAGACAAATTGACAGTCTAGAAACCTTTTTTTCTGAAGATTTTACGATGTTAAAAGTTTTCTCCAAAATTATTTTGCTGACTTCTTGTCGGATGACTTTTCCACGTTATCATATTCAAACACATTTATTGTATCGAACATTCCAGATTCGATTGACTGAGGAGTCATAGATGTTAGCTGCTGAGGACTTTTATACTTGGATGAAACAACAGACTGGTGCTTCCATTTTCTGGCTGATTAGCTTCGCCAGCGTGTATCAACAATGTTATATTCGAAAACCGAAACCAAGAAATTCGGTTTCGAGTGCACATACTTAACCATTAGATCACTTGAGCCGATACTTAATGGTACACATATCTTACTTCAACCAATTCTCGATATTCTGCAACCACTTATTGATTTCAGATTTATGTTAGATTTCTAACTTAGATCTCTCATGGATATAAAGTTATCGAAAGTGATTAATTATTTGAACAGTCTTTACTTTTTTTTAAAATATTTTTTCAATCATTGATTAAGTACTTTAAATCAGCCAGAAATAAGTAATTAAATAAACGTAATCATATACTACTCACAATTTTCAAGTAATGCACAAACTTACAGTCTTAAATTTGAGTCACTTTTTGGAAAGTAAATAACTACATGTCACATTAACTATGTCTTTTTTTTCCACGATTGCTATAAGCTGTATTAGGGTAATTGAGCTAAGATTGATCATTGACTTCCACTGAAACTGAACATTGATTCACTCCGATCAATAATTTGTAATCTTATCTCCATCCATATAAGTGTATATGTATGAATATACAGTATAATTTCGTTTTCATAACAGTTTACCATTCCATCATCATGATCGTAAAATTTGCCCAGAACGTAAGTTAATCTAATGGACATATTTTCATTTGAAATAGTAAAACATCATTGATTTTAATTAAAGAGTTATAGAAATTGTTAAGTTTCATTGAAATAACAGACCGATCATTGTTAGATCAGCGCCAAAAACCTGAAAGCACTTAAAGGCCGTTTCTTCCTAGTATGGGATTCGTCAGCAATGGACATACACTACCGCGCACGCGACAATTCAACCCAGGACCTTTGGTCTCATGTGCAAACGCTTAACCTTTAAAGCACAGAGTTGGCGGCATCCAACAGTGTTATTGTCTAATTTTGATGATTTCACAGTCATGCGCTTTGAATTAAAAAGATATTCACCTACACAGTAAAATTCGAAACTTTCCCTATTTGATTATTTTAATGAAATGTTCATCTTTAACCTGTACTATCAATACAAATGAGAAATTATTTCTATAACCAATGAAATCCATTAAAATTATACTTAGATTA